TCCCTTGTAGCCTTGTATGGAAACCACGAGTCTGTGTTAGTACGCAGGGCATACTCCTGATGTATGCAATGCGTACGTAGCTGGGGTTCAAACCCTAAAATTTTAGGGTTTGCACCATATTTAATCCCCATTATGAGCCTCAATCCCTTTTTCCTCATCAGTCTCCATTTGGAAAATCGTTCCTTAGCCAACCCTAATTCTCTCAAGTGCATTTTTGATCTTTTGCGTATATTTTGGTGTCCTTAATGGAATACGTTAGAAGAGAAGATCATCCTTGAAGAGTGGAACACTTTGGAATCCTGCCATCTTTTGACACCATTTGAAGGTATAAAGTTATGAGCTTGATGTTGATTTCATTTAGATATTGTTAGCCTTAGATTTGTGGTTATTTTGGTCCCATGAGCTTGGTATTATGAGTATGACGTACTCTAATCCTTTTGAGTTGTCCTTTCAGACGTTTGGGAGTGTCTTGAAGCATAAAAATGTGATCTTAGATGTGATATTTATCCCATGCATGTGTTAGATGGTCTTAATGGGTTAAGAAGTTAGGGTTTGTTGGATTAAGAAATTAATGGCTCTAAGTGATATTTTGGGACTAGATCTGTGTTTGGAGTTGTGCTTGGAGCTTGAGGATCTGGGATTAGCTCATCATTTGCTAGCCTTTTTAGGTAAAAAGCTCACAACTTGCTAATCTATGATGCTAGATCTAATTATGTTGCTATTTTTATGCTTTTTGAGTCCTTGGAGTGATTGATGAGCTTCTTGATTCACTCCATAAGTGATTGGTGGTAGATCTAGGTTTCTTTTGGTCCCTTTGTCCATAAAAATGCAAGCTTTGAGGTGTTTATGGGCTCATGCATGTGTTAAGAACCTTTGTTAAGCTCTTTTGAGCTATAGAGTCCCATTAAGCCATGCATGCACGTAAAGTTGCCAAGTATACGTGATAAGTCACCTTAAGGAAGTCAGATATGAGAGTATGGAGTAAAGGTTGAGCGGATTAAGTGGTTAATTATGTGGGATGGTCAACTGGGGAGTACGTTGGGTGTACAAGATGGTACGTTGCACGTACTAGCCCCAGAGCATGTACGCTAAGGGTACGATCTGAGTACACCCCGCGTACTTAGCAGTAGGCTTCAAAATCTTGGATTTTTTGGTATTGGGCTCATGTTGGACCTTAGAAGTTTAGGGCTTTGTTGGGCCATGAGAATTCTATTTTTGGGCTGATGCTATTTTATTGGACTCTTTTGGTTGAAGATCCACAAAAGGATTTGGGCCCAATTTGGAAGATTGTGCCATATTTGGGCTTTGGGTGATCATTTTGGAATTTGGGGCTTTTGGATAGTTGGCTTGGGCCTTGGCCTTGGGCCAAGTTAGGTAAAGGGTAAAAAGGTCTTTTACCATAGTCTGAACTCGTAATATGAGTCGGGATCCAATTATTAATTGGATGTTATTTTATGTTGATAGCGCACAGATTTTAGCGGACCAGCAACCAGAGATTTATCTATGAGATTCAGCAGTCTGAGGTGAGTTTCCTCACTGTGTTTAGCGGGTCGAAGGAACCAATGCCGACCCATGGTTTATTATGTTAGGATGCTAGATGTATGCGTGACTCCTGCATGTGTATGCATTGGTATGTATGCCGAGCGGGGCTCGATGTCGAGCGAGGCCTGATGACTGTATTATATGTTATCATATTTGTGAGTATTGCATGTGTTAGTATGATTATGTGTTTATATTCTTATATGTGTATCGGGGCAGGGTCCGATGTCAGGCGGGGCCTGGTGATTTGACAGATATGTAAACCGAACGGGGCTCGATGTCTGGCGAGGCCTGAGGCCGGGTGGGAATTGATGTCGGGCGGGGGCCCAATATGTGTTTATTATGTATGGTATGTGGTATGTTGGGGAACTCACTAATCTTTGTGCTTACGGTTTTCAATTTATGTTTCATGTACTTCTGGTACGAAAGGGAAGAGCCTGGGATGAATATAGATCATACACCACTCGATTTCGTATTTTGTGATTTACTCTGATATGATATGATGTAGTGACATACTTTGGTCAATCTTGGTTACATGACAATGTTTTGAATTACCGTTTTATTTAAATTAAAAATAAAATTATTGGGTCTTATTTTTGGGACGTTACATATTGCCAACTCAACTGGAAGGTGCACAGAAACAAGGACGTGTCAACTTAACACGATAGGTTATCAACCTCAGGTCGTGTGCTAGTGATAACTAAAAGGTTCATTGTCGATTGACTCCTGAAACTCTCAAGATCAATAAGACTCCTACTGACTTCTTGACATATAAGTTTTCCTCTTAAGGAACATTCCTTGACGAGCTAACACAAATATTCAAAAGTTAGTGTGGATTCCCGACAAGAAACACTTCATGAATTGGTCTTAGTTTATCCTTTGTTTTAACCAAAAACATCACAACTTCCAATTCCAAATGTACTAGAGTAAGAAAACATTATTACTCCACATTTCATGATGTGTTATAAACCTACTTAGTTTAAAATAAGTTTTCCAATATACGATCTGTAGCTACTAGAGTATGACTCTAAAACTCGATTGGAAACGAAGTATGACTTATCTCTCGATTTAACCATTTCAACAATATCTGATTCCTCTTCTTAGTCATACAATTTCACTAAGAGGTTCTTTGAGGATTAATTGTCATATAGTTCCAGAATCATTAAGACGATCACAAAACACAATATTAAAGTATTCTCCTTTCCTTTCAGATCGGAGAAACTTTTATCTTTCTGCCTAATAGATTATTCTTATTCATTCTGCTACTCTTTGAAACTTTTCAAAGCATCAGAATTATGCTTAATCTTATCATCACAACCACACTTACTGAAACATCAGTAAATTGTGATGAATAGACTTATCGTCCTCTGTGGTGGATCTGAATAGTCCACATCAACATGTATTAGATCCATTAGTCATTCACTTTGACTCATATAAACATGTGATCAATGAATTAGTCATAATCTTCCAACGATCAAGATTCTCATACATCATGAAATTCGAGTTGCATGACTCCAAGTTTCTATCCAATTGAAACTTGGGTGATGAGAATTCGTTATCACTTAGTTAATTATGACAATACCATAAACGATATCATAAGAATCAAATCCTAATTAACATTGCTAATAATAGAAATGAAACCAACACTTTCATAAATGCCAGTGTAAGGAAATATAAAGTAAACGAACTAAATAAACCAAAATTTCACTTTTATTGATAATAAACGAAAATTTTGGAACTTGTCCTTACAATGCAAAAATGAAAACAACATTTCTAGACATTTCCTAAGAAATCTATTAAATTATCATAACTCCTAAGAGTAGCTTTCAAAATCTAATCATCGAACCATGCGATCGAAATCCGTATCTCATGATCAGATTCAACTCACTCTTTTTAAGCTTCCTTCTTTCTCTTAGATCCTACAAAACATCAAAATGTGATCATCACATCATGTATTAAGAGACTATGAATAGGAACTTGTTAAAATAATGGAGTTAGATAATGGATGTACCTGAAGTAGAGTCACATGACTTGACTTTACCATCTCTAAGATCTTTCAGGTAGTCTAGGCAGCTTCGCAACCAATGTCCCTTCAATTGGCAATAGAAACATATAGACTTTTTGGGGATAACACATGGAACTATCTCAGAACTAGCATTTGTCTTTACCATACGATCAAACAATTTAACCTTGGTCGATCCCTTTCCATTGGGAAGAGAAATCTTTTCTGGACCACCATTGTCACCATTGTCAATGTCCATGGAAATTTTGGAATTAGATCCTTAAAACACTTTTTCTTCACTTGTGCTCTTAAGCACTTCTACTTCAGTAACAATCAACATATGTGTCAAATCAATTAGGGTCATGTCGAGCTAACTCATATAAAAGTTCTCAATGAACTGTTCATATGACTTGGGAAGTGAAAGTAGAACCAAATCAATGGCCTGCTCCCATGGGAAAACGAAACCCAACCTATCCAAATTGTCCTTTCAGTCGATTTCAGATGCCCCTAATGCATCCAAAACATAGATCTGACCTCCTAGGGTCCATATTATATGCAAAGCTACGAACTTGACGTTCATGCATGGGGTTTTTGGCTCAAAAGGCTCTAAAATGAGGTTTATATGATGCATGGGACTCCCATGGCCATAAAGTTGGCACCTTTATGCCATGGGAACCCTCAATGGTTCTAGATCTGAAGTCATGCCCCTTTAGAACCACAAAATCCCAAAAATGGCTCTACTAAAACTTAGAAAATGTAGAAACTTGTCCTAACTAGAGATCTAAGAGATAAATGGTCAAGGTTGAAGCTTTTTACCTTGAATGAGCTTGAAATGAAGCAAAACCTCTGGATCTACTTGCTTCTTCTGGAACCACCAAGCTTCCACTCCTTTCTTCAAGCTTCAAACAACCACAAACACACAAAAATGGCCCAGGAACACTCCAAATGCTTTAGGGTTTTGAGTTAGGGCTTTTCTGGACTGTGAGAGACGATGGAGGCTAAAGTGGGACAAGATAATGTGTTTAAATAGGGTGCAAACCCAAAATATTAGGGTTTCACCCAGGCAGTCCTACTCGTCGAGTCGGGCTCCTGACTCGTCGAGTAGGTTACTTAAAACCCGCGTCCAAAATCCAGTCTACTCAACGAGTTGGGCCTCCAACTCGTCGAGTCCCAGTGTAAAAATGCAAATACTTATATTTAAAATACGTACCGGGAACCGGGCGTTACATTAATATATATATATATATATATATATATATATATATATATATAATATTAAAGATGTTCAAAGTTAGGAACAGTGAACATCAAGGTTTTTTTATTGTTTTCGTCCTTCTACTTTCTTTCTTTGTCATTTTCTTCTTTTCGTATATTTTTTATGTGTTGCTTCTCATTATTCTTCTTCTATTCTTCGACCTTTGTTTCTGTGTTCTTCTTCACCGTTTTTGTACGGTAACGAATGGGTTTCTTCCACACCTTTTGTTCTCACCGTCTTCTCGGACTACCACCTACAAATCTCCTATTCGTTAACCCTTTGTCCTGTCGGCTACTAACCACCGTTTTGTTTCTCTATTGTCCATCACTTCTTCTTTCACCTCCTCCGTTCCAGAACCCTCTGCATCTCCCACCTCCCACCAGTATTCGATACACTTTGACGGTGCTTCCGCCGCACCTCCAATCGATTCGACACCTCCAGCCGATTTCATCACAAGTTTGATTAGGTTTGTGTAACATACACGTTCAGTTATCGTGTTATGTATTTTTAAAAGTGAAAAATATAATTAAATATTATATGAATTTGAGCATTAAGTTCTAACAGATAGTTTTTACTAGAAATGAAGTAAACCTATGTTTAGAATCACTCGGAAAATATTGGAAGTCTTATGAGATTCCAATCTAATATTGAAATTTAACGAAAATATAAAATTTGAAATAAGTAAAATTTTATTATTGAAAGTTGTATAGAATCCCGTTAGAAACATTTAGGCGAAAACCTCATCGAAATCCGAGTTATAACGAAGAAGTTATGACTAATCGAAGTTTCGCGACAGAACCGGCACGACGCCGTATAGCGTAAAAAGTGAGTTTTCGATAAACTACTTTTTATCCCTTATGATCTAAATGAAAGTCATAGTATTCGTTAAACCGAGAACTTTCATAAAAAGAACGTCTAAATCTGACTTCGTATGAGGAAGTTATGATTTTTCTAAGTTTCGGTATAGCAGTAGACAGTTAAAAACTCGAAATAAAGATCGAGTGATTTTTAGCCGACACAACCTAAATGAGAATCGAAGGTCTCGTTAATAGTAGTATAACGGTAAAAAGACAGACGAAAACGGACGTCGGATGAAAAAGTTATGAAATTTTAACGAACGTTTCCTGTCTCGGCCCGTTAAAAATATAATATTAATATAATATTAAAAATAAAGTCAAAATTAGCCGACGGAGTCTAAATGAAAGATGTAGAGCATAATCTCACCTACGCTTGTATATAAAGAACGTAAAAAGCGGAGCTCGTATGCAAAAGATATGGATTTTTGAAGTTCGGAGCACAAACTTCGAGAATTTGACTGCATTCACGACGTGAACACAGTGTTCACGACGTGAACTCAGTGAACGACGCGTTTCGAGCCTAGAAGACACACGGCAAGCCTAGGGGATGACCAAGATCAAAGTCACGACATGAACATACATGGTTCACGACGTGAGAGTCGATTTTTCAGCCTATAAAATAGAAATCGAGCCTTCCGGGTTTATGTTACAAATTCTCACTCTCATTCACTCTCTAGCCTCTCTCAAGCCCCTCTAACACCCTCCGAAGTCCCGATATCATCCCCGACACCCGAAGCAAGTCCCGACGTTCCGAAGTTCCCGAGAAAATTATATTTTCAAGTCGAAACTCTGCCCGTGTAAGGCCGGTTCTCAACTAAAATCCCCGGTTTCATCGCAAAAAGTCATATTTAGAGTCGAAGTGCTGCCCAAATTAATCCCCAGTTATTTCACGGTGAGTTCAATATATAGGAACAATTGTATGTTATGTGTTATATGTGCTATGTGCTTTTCCGTTGTTATTATTTCTGCTATTTATGATAGCAAAGCTATACCTTTGACCATGTGATCAGTGAAAGGACTTAGATTCATGGTGGTACTGGTATGTAGCCTCTGGCCATGTAGAGCATGTCTCGTAAGAGAATGACTTCTATTCTATGACATTGACAGAAGGTTAGATAGGGCTGAAAGCCTGAAATCCACCAAAATGTTTAATCAGAAATCGTATGTCTTCTGTGTCATTTGTGCCGAAGTGTTATTGATGTATATCAAGTATTGAAATTGTTATGTCTCATTGATTGTATATCATTGAATCAAATCATCGATTGATATGGAAAGCTTGTCGCATTTCACATATGCCTTTATTGTTCCTTGTACCCCTTTGCTTCTGCCATATTGAAGTATATATATGGCATAACGTTATATTGTATCTATTATTGAACTCACTAAGCGTCACCGTTTACCCCTCTCAATGTTTAACAATTGCAGGAGATAAGTAACCAGTATAGTCGTATATTGTTGGAAGATTTAGAATAGTTATAATATTACTTTTGTATTTAGGGATCATATATGTATAAAAGTATAGTATCCTGGGTAGTTGTGTAATATATAACACTTTGTAGTAGTCGGTTTGTATCCAAATAGTTTGTAATCACTTTATCAATGTAAAATATTGTTTTTATGAATATGCGTGTAACATGTTTTGGAGTAACAATTGTCAAGTATGAAAGTTTGAGTATTTCAGAAATATGAAAGTGTGGGTCTTTCAGTTTGATCCTCCACTCTTGAAATTCCATCACAACCGGCCAGTTCCCTTGGCGGAGGCGAGTCCGACGAGGGTTTTTCACCGGCTGAAATTTCTTTTCAGTTGACTTGACTGGGGTGTCTCGACTTAGATGCTTACTATCACCGACGTGGCAAAGAAATCAAGGTAACCGTTGACCAATTTCCTTATAATTTTAATAAACGAAATTTAGAAGAAACATACCCTTTAAATTTTAAGGACGACTAAATCAAATATATATTAAACTCATGATTTTTTTTTATATTCACATATATTAATTACATATAAATGTTTTCTTTTCAAAAACACATATTGGACCTATAAATGTTAGATTATTTAAAATAAAAATTTTAAAACTACATAAAATAATATTAAAATATTCAGATAGATGGAAAGTTTTTTATATTAGTAAAAAGAATTGTCATACTTAATCCTAAAAACACTAGCTTTGAATTTTTTTATTAGAATTATCTTATACTATATTATAAAGCATATTAATCATATCTTGAATTTTAAGAGGTATAAGTTACAAAACTTTTTGTACAAATCAATTTTGCATAAATATCATTAATACTTTCCAAAAATTTGAAGACTTGAATTAAGGAATGTTATTAAGAAAATTAATTTGGAGCAAAATGAAAATTTTAAAATATTAAATTCATTTATATATAAATTAATTTAAATTTGTTAAACCGGAAACCGATACTAATTTTGTGTTGTTTACAAAAAAGACGTTGGTATTAGTTAATCTACATTAAATGTATAGACATGCAATATAAATATAAGGTTTAAACACAATCATATATTTAAAAGTGGTAATTGTATTTACATAATAACTAATAATATAATCTAATAAATATATCTCAATAAGAAAACTATTATCCAAAAGAGTTATTTATCGCTGCCGCTTCGTGCGGATACACATCTAGTATACTATTATTCTTGTAATATAAAAGTTGAATAACAAACATTACTAGTTGAATGATATATGATTTCTCAAGCTTACAGTCTCATATTATATTTTTACAAATCTTATATCTTATAGTTGTCTATACAAAATAATAGATCATGAGTTGATGATTAAACACAATAGCTTCATTCCTTCACATTTAGATATAATATCTCAAACATATTATTATCTCATATGTTTTGTGTTATATATTTTATTTTTTATAATATATAATCATTTTTTATTTGTATTTTATGTTATTTTATATTTTTCAATTAACTTATCATTTTTCTTATCAAACATCAATTTTTACTATCATTTCAACTATTTAGCTAACCAGTCAAACATAATTTTAATAACCTCCGATCATTTATTATTCTTATAGGTTTTGTAATCTTAATAACCTCGGATCATTTATTATTCTTATAGGTTTTGTATATTTTGACTTTTGCTTTTAATAACATTTCATTTTACATTATAGTTATATGTGGGTAGCCTTATCTTTATTATTTTTTTGATTAATTAATCTATTTAGTTATATATGAACAATAAAAATAATATAATTAATAAAAAATTTATGTCATTATAAATCAATTTTCAAATTTTTTAACATAAAACAAATATAAAATATTATAAAATATTGTGATCATATTGTTTTTTATAGCAAAATATTCGTATTATAATATTTTTATATATTTAAATACTTATGTAAATTACTATTTTTCGAAAATATTATATATACCTAAAAAATAAAAATGACAAATTATATAAAAAAGACTTATGAAGATTTTAAGATAGATACCTTTATTTCAAAAAAGTTTTTTTTTGAAAAGATTAATTATTAAAAAAGATTTGTAAATAATATATTTTTATTGAATAAAAGTTAATCAAAACTGATACAACAAAATATATATATATTTTTAAAATGAATCACTTTAAATATAGTAGTACCTGTTCTTTTGTCAAATATTTGTTATGGTGATTTAAGAATTCTAAAGATTTAAAAAAAAAAAAAAAAAAAAACAATTATTACACAACGATAACTAAAAATACCTAAAATTGATTGTCGCGGGGACAAAAATATCTTTACGGAAGGAAGAAGAGCCGTTTTCATTTTCACCCTATCTCCCCTGATTTTTGACCTAAGCAATATATACAAGAAACCTATATCTATAACCTTCTCTCCAGACCAGACCCACTTTGATTTCTTTATTCAGTAATCTTCAAAACCACCGATCATATCCTCTCTGGAAAATATTGTTGACTACGTACAGGAAATAGTCGTTCCGATTGGGGTTTGTTTACTTGCTGGGAAATAGTTGATTATGCTTAGGGTTTGATCGTAGATAATGGTAGATTCAGGAGTTAGTAGGTTCTTATTGTCATGTAGGAAATGCCAGAGCTGCGCAGTGGAGTACGTCGTGCCCGTGCTTCTCCTGTAGTCGACAAGAAGAGAGGTGTCAGCTCGCCGAAGGCTGCGGCGGGGAAGAAACGATCGGAGCAATTGGTTGGTAAGTACGTCAAAACTCGAGCGGCTGTGGCGACTTTGGTTAAGGTGAAACAACAGAAGAATCCGCGGCGGCAGACCAAGCAGACAAAGGAGGAGAAAGAGGGTTTAGCACCACCCACGTTGGTTATTGTTTCCGAAACAGAGGAGAGAGGAAAAGAAACAGTCAAAGAAGTACGGATGGGGGATAGCGGCGGATTGAGCGCTAACAAGGTTACCGGCCAGGAGGAAGAAGGAAATACTGCCCCTTTTCCTGAGAGGGTACTACACACTCTCTCTGTTTTCTATTTTGTTTTGAAATTTTCAAGCCTGTTAATTTTTGCATGGTCTCAGTAAGGAAATGAACTTCTTAATTACTGGAATGAAGTTTCTGAAGTTCTGGTTATATTTCCATAGTTGTCATGTAGAGCTAGTCAGCTAGATGCATGATGGTTTAGGAAAATTCCCATTTATAGTCTTAGCTACCCATGAACCATTTGAAAGCCCTTGATCATCTTTCTGGTTGTCTTTTTTATATTTCTAATGGTTGTAGTCTCCCTTGTTTCTGCACTTGCTTATACTTTTTGAGAGGCTGCATAGGCAAGATGTCATTAAGTACAAATGGTTTCCTGTTAGCATTGTGGAGTTATAATCTATTTGAATTGTTGTATCATAGCTTTTCGAATCTCTCAATCAGTCAATTGATCATTTGAATACATCAGTAGGTACTTTCTTTGATCCTTCATTGGTTGGTTTTCAGGTTCAAGTAGGTGGATCACCACAATATAAGGTTGAGAGGAAGCTAGGCAAAGGTGGTTTTGGTCAGGTATTTGTAGGTCGCCGTGTTTCTGGTGGAACTGAACGAATATCAGGTCCTGGAGCCATGGAGGTAATATTTTCTTTACCCAATCATTTTCGTTTATATTCTTTTTTCTAAAATTGGATTTGGCTAACTTCTTTCCTCTGCTTCTCTTTGTAACAGGTAGCTCTTAAATTTGAGCACAAAAACAGCAAAGGCTGCAGTTATGGTCCTCCATACGAGTGGCAAGTTTACAAGTATGTGCTTACTTTGGGTTCTATCTTAGTCAAGTTAAACATGTTTTTTTCAAAACTTTAAGTGGCATTGATGTTCTTTTTGATCAAACAGCACTCTAGGTGGCAGTCACGGTGTGCCTAAAGTACATTATAAAGGAAAACAAGGAGAGTACTATGTGATGGTATGATAATCCTAATTTATGTCTTTTCTCTTTCAATATATTTGAAAGCTAGACAACATTATAGCAATCTGTTGTCTTTATGCCTTTTCTCACTCTTTCAGGTCATGGACATGCTTGGACCTAGTCTATGGGATGTTTGGAATTCTTCTGGCCAATCGTGAGTTCTTGAACTTGTGCACATGGAAAGATATCCTTCTTTGTTTTGCATTGTTCTTGGTTTCTTGTTTGTTAACCATCTCTAATATCCAGGATGTCATCTGAAATGGTAGCTTGTATAGCTGTGGAAGCTTTGTCAATTTTGGATAAGCTGCATGCAAGAGGGTATACTAAATAACTCATATGCTTCTTTTGTTAGTTTTCAAGTTGATACGAACATATATTTGACCTTGTTTCTTTCATTTCACCATGTTGAATGACTTCTGTTCAAGTTGATACGAACATATATTTGACCTTGTTTCTTTCATTTCACCATGTTGAATGACTTCTGTTCCTTAGTTTTCAAGTTGATACGAACATATATTTGACCTTGTTTCTTTCATTTCACCTTGTTGAATGACTTCTGTTCCTTATTTGTTAGTTTTCAAGTTGATACGAACATATATTTGACCTTGTTTCTTTCATTTCACCATGTTGAATGACTTCTGTTCCTTAGTTTTCAAGTTGATACGAACATATATTTGACCTTGTTTCTTTCATTTCACCTTGTTGAATGACTTCTGTTCCTTATTTGTTAGTTTTCAAGTTGATACGAACATATATTTGACCTTGTTTCTTTCATTTCACCATGTTGAATGACTTCTGTCCTTAGTTTTCAAGTTGATACGAACATATATTTGACCTTGTTTCTTTCATTTCACCTTGTTGAATGACTTCTGTTCCTTATTGTTAGTTTTCAAGTTGATACGAACATATATTTGACCTTGTTTCTTTCATTTCACCATGTTGAATGACTTCTGTTCCTTAGTTTTCAAGTTGATACGAACATATATTTGACCTTGTTTCTTTCATTTCACCTTGTTGAATGACTTCTGTTCCTTATTTGTTAGTTTTCAAGTTGATACGAACATATATTTGACCTTGTTTCTTTCATTTCACCATGTTGAATGACTTTGTTCCTGTTTTTTTTCAAGTTGATACGAACATATATTTGACCTTGTTTCTTTCATTTCACCGTGTTGAATGACTTCTGTTCCTTATTTGTTCTTTTCAAGTTGATACGAACATATATTTGACCTTGTTTCTTTCATTTCACCATGTTGAATGACTTCTGTTCCTTAGTTTTCAAGTTGATACGAACATATATTTGACCTTGTTTCTTTCATTTCACCTGTTGAATGACTTCTGTTCCTTATTTGTTAGTTTTCAAGTTGATACGAACATATATTTGACCTTGTTTCTTTCATTTCACCATGTTGAATGACTTCTGTTCCTTAGTTTTCAAGTTGATACGAACATATATTTGACCTTGTTTCTTTCATTTCACCTTGTTGAATGACTTCTGTTCCTTATTTGTTAGTTTTCAAGTTGATACGAACATATATTTGACCTTGTTTCTTTCATTTCACCATGTTGAATGACTTCTGTTCCTTAGTTTTTCAAGTTGATACGAACATATATTTGACCTTGTTTCTTTCATTTCACCTTGTTGAATGACTTCTGTTCCTTATTTGTTAGTTTTCAAGTTGATACGAACATATATTTGACCTTGTTTCTTTCATTTCACCATGTTGAATGACTTCTGTTCCTTAGTTTTCAAGTTGATACGAACATATATTTGACCTTGTTTCTTTCATTTCACCTGTTGAATGACTTCTGTTCCTTATTTGTTAGTTTTCAAGTTGATACGAACATATATTTGACCTTGTTTCTTTCATTTCACCATGTTGAATGACTTCTGTTCCTTAGTTTTCAAGTTGATACGAACATATATTTGACCTTGTTTCTTTCATTTCACCTTGTTGAATGACTTCTGTTCCTTATTTGTTAGTTTTCAAGTTGATACGAACATATATTTGACCTTGTTTCTTTCATTTCACCATGTTGAATGACTTCTGTTCCTTAGTTACGTGCATGGAGATGTAAAGCCAGAGAACTTTTTACTTGGCCAGCCATCAACATCTCAAGAAAAGAAATTATTTCTTGTTGACCTGGGGTTGGGTAAGAAAACTCATTTTACTTGTAGAAATTAATTTTCGTTACTTGATGGTTTCCTCTTTAATGATTTTACTGATACTAAATGCAGCAACAAAGTGGCGAGAGACTGCTAATGGTCAACATGTTGACTACGACCAACGGCCTGACATGTTCAGGTCAAATTGAAATCACCAGTTTCTTGAAACAAACTATTGTATTGTCTTACTTAATGTCCATTTGGATTCATAGTGAATAGCCATGTGATTGCAGGGGAACAGTTAGATATGCTAGTGTGCATGCACACTTGGGTAGGACTGCAAGTAGAAGAGATGATCTGGAATCTCTTGCATATACACTCATATTTCTTCATCGAGGCAGGCTTCCTTGGCAAGGGTATCAGGTATTACATCATGATTCACCAGATTCTTTTATTGGCATATATATGAGATTGCTTTGGTAATCTTATGTTGTTTGTTTAGGGTGACAATAAATCGTTTCTAGTGTGCAAGAAGAAAATGGCGACATCTCCTGAAATGTTGTGTGTCTTTTGCCCTGCACCTGTAAGGCAGTTTCTGGAGATAGTTGTGAATATGAAGTTTGATGAAGAACCAAACTATTCGAAGCTAATTTCTTTGTTTGAGGGACTAATAGGACCCAATCCTGCTATAAGGCCCATAAACACAGATGGTGCTCAAAAGGTGATTCATTTCGTTACTACTTAACTTCCCAGTGTGTATGATTATGATATGATCTGTTGTTAATTAGAATGTTAAATTAAAGAGTTAATGACTTTGTTTTTAAAAAAAAAAAAAAAAAAAAAAAAAAAAAAAAAAAAACTTCAGATCATCTGTCAAGTTGGTCAAAAACGGGGCAGATTGAATCTTGATGAGGATGATGATGGACAGCCTTCAAAGAAAATCCGAATGGGAGTCCCTGCAACACAGTGGATTTCAATTTACAATGCCAGGCTACCAATGAAACAAAGGTTGGTGGTACGGGTACCTTTAATTTATTATTTTATATTCTGTGGGCCTCTTATATCTAAAATGGGGCTTGTTGTGCATGATTAGGTACCATTACAATGTTGCAGATGCAAGATTAAGCCAACATGTTGAGAGAGGAAATGCTGATGGCTTACTTATAAGCTGTGTGTCATCTTGTTCCAACTTATGGGCTTTGATAATGGATGCCGGGACAGGGTTTTCAAGCCAAGTTTATGAACTGTCTCCTTTCTTCTTACACAAGGTATAGACTATTGAGTGATAAATGGTGTGTTTGGAAAAAAAAGAAAGTTATTTATTTTATGAGTGATGAGATTGATGGATGATACAGGAATGGATTATGGAACAATGGGAGAAGAACTATTACATCAGCTCCATTGCTGGTGCTAACAATGGAAGCTCTCTGGTGGTTATGTCAAAAGGTATGTTGAGCTTTTCTTGTAAGAGCAGTTTGCTTGCATAATGCATGTGTTATTATTGTGTATTGTGTATTCTTATTTTATGAAGTTTTAGGGACACAGTACTCTCAACAGTCTTACAAAGTTAGCGACTCGTTCCCTTTCAAGTGGATAAACAAGAAATGGAGAGAAGGGTTTCATGTGACATCCATGGCAACCGCGGGTACCCGCTGGGGTGTTGTCATGTCCCGTAATGCTGGCTTCAGTGATCAGGTAGGTAGCATGATATAAATATTATATTGGTATGGGAAATGTTATATATAATAAGAGTAATCATAATGCATTATGCATCTTCTGAGTATGATGAGTGGGGTGTATAATAGGTGGTGGAGCTTGACTTTTCTATATCCAAGTGAGGGGATTCATAGAAGGTGGGATAATGGTTACCGTATTACATCAACAGCTGCCACCTGGGATCAAGCTGCTCTTATCTTGAGTGTGCCTCGCCACAAGCCTGGCGATGAAACACAGGAAACCTTACGCACATCACAGTTTCCAAGCACACATGTTAAGGTCGGTTTTCATATATTTTCTCATTCAGCTTTGCTTGTTCTTGCTCATCATTTATGATTTATAAATGGTATGTGCAGGAGAAGTGGGCTAAAAATTTGTATCTTGCCTGCATTTGCTATGGAAGAACTGTGTCTTGAATCATGATGATGATGGTATGTGGGTTTGAAAACTTGTTGTATTGTATTTAATTTTGAAATGTTGCTGTGTATGCTGATGATACTCTCTCTCTCTCTCTCTCTCTGTTTGTTGTCATGTGCAGTGTGCAGAGAGAGAGGGTAGAGGACAGAGGACAGAGGTGGTGTGTAAAGTGTTTGTTGTAAACTCATGTGTTGTTGTGAATCAAGGACACCAGTGGTGGTCCAGATTCTGAGTAGTCAACTAGTCTAGTCTTGATGTTGATGTTGACCCACCCATATTTATAATATTGTTGTTTTGTAGCTGTACCTAATCGCTGGTTATATGTATGCCATTGTGATTGTATGTGTTAAGCTTTGCTTCAAGGAAAGCCATAATGTTATTATGGCGTGTTAAACTTGGTTACTTTTTTGGATATGCATGCTACTTTAACCAGTGTGTTTTTGTTGGAAACATGTTATTTGATTTTGTTGGAAGTCTCAACTCCAGAGCTTCAGGGTTAGTATTTAGTGCTTCTAGCATTCTATGCGATGCATGGTCAAATGCCATTTTAGAAATAGTATAAACAAATGGAGAAAACTAGCCACCAACCTCTAATCAAATCTTATTTCAACTTTAGCTTCAAGTGACCCAACAATTGAAGAATACACCAAAAAAAACAACAAATAAAGTATTGTAAGCTAAAGATAGACTGATCAATTAGTATAAAAATTGTTCAAACTTGTCTTTTTTTATTTATTTATTACTTTACCAACTTATTTTCATCGGTAATCATTATACCACATTTAACCTTATGACACCATGTTTTTGAAAAGGCGCAAGCCTCGTGTCTGGTTGAGCTGACGTTCTTGGTGTTCAGGCCCATTTGGAATATACAGATTAGATCGTGTTTGGATTCGTCTTGATCTTATTGAGGGGAAGACTTGTTATCTCCCTTCTTATTCATACTTGAAGGTTTACAAGTGGCGACTGTGAATGTGGTTGCCACCACCAATCTTTACAAGGAGCCAAAGTTGGTATCGGTGGCATTAATGTTTCACATCTTCTTTTCAATGATAACGTTTCGTTCTTTGGAATTTGGATATTGGTCGCAAGAGAATATCTTTAATATCGTGCATGTATTACGATACTTCTATTTGGCTTCCGGTTTGATACTTGATCTTTACAAGTCGAACATGTATGGTATCAGAGTTAATTTTGATTTGGTGGAACAACTTGCGGTTCTGACAGGGTGTAGAGCAGATAAAAACTCCCGTAGGGTGTAGGGTTGGAAAACGGTCATAGACAAGTTTGAAAAATAATTGTATAATTGGAAAGTGGAGTTGCTTTCAATTGGTGGTCACTTCCCACCCCATTCTTCGTAGAGTGTTGGTGGCGATAAGAAAAACATAGGCACGACACTATTTTTGAGTCTCTATAGTGGAATATTAGTTCAATTGGTTTAATAATAGGAACCATAAATTTACTGTAAGGGTTACAAAACCCAGTTATCACCTCACCGCTCCTTTGCAAATGTTTGTCGTTTTCTCCCTACTTACGTTTTCTTTATTAGAATCATATTATCAATGAAATTGATTGTTTTAGCCAAGAGCAACAACATGACAATGACTTGAAAAATATTTCTGTTTCGGACAAAGTTTACCCTGATAAATGGGCACCAGGCAACTTTCATCAACATCCCCCGTAATAATTCACCCCTGTGCAAAAATATCAAGCAATAAACTAGACTCTAAAATGCCAAAAGATTAGAGCCACGGGGCTCTATATCAGTCTTGAGCCAGAACCTGGAAGTCAGTGACTTCCACTTCCAGGTTGTAGCTCAAGACTGTTCTTTCCATATGCGTCCAGACACTTTTAGCTTCAGCTCCTGCCTGTCCCCACCAGAAAAGAACAATGCTATATTCCTTGTTATAATCAGCCCATCAAGACTATCACGAACAGTCTTGTGACTATCACGAATACTCCTCGGGATCCCTTGCCACTTCAACTTTCTACCATTTCCTCCAACTTCCAGACTGTAACTAAACTTGTTAGCATCATTTTCATCCCCCATGAACCGCAAAAACGCCATGTAAACCGGTGCTGCTCCCAGATGAAAAGCTTCAAAATGCAAGCAGAATTGGTATCCAAAGCAGTTGAAAATCTGCACACCCAAAATCAAAACCAGTCTTATTAGCTCACAGGGACTGTTTACGTTACTTGGTATTTCTAGAAGGGGGTGAAGTGTAGATCTTACGGTCAACATCCAAGTAGCATTCTCAATCTCATGAGGATTAGGCTTCACATATCGGTGGTTGAAGCTAGAGCCATCATGCATATCAACATTATGATCCGTCTTCAAATGTGCAACAATGAATGGAATATCACCGGTGACTGGACATTCTGCACCTGCGTATGGACAATTATACCCTCGATGCTTGCAATCTTCTTCATGTCTCATCCTGCTGTGATATGCTAAAATATCTTGGCAACCATAAACATGGTACTTGCATGGTAATTCAATGGACTCTGCAACTTTTTCCAAAGCCAAACACCTTATATTTCCAAGCTCTTGTCTACATATCGGGCAACTGTTTTGAACTTTAGTCTTGCAAACCACACATATCGTGTGCCCATTTGGACACTGCACATAAACATTCAAATTTAGAACATAATTCTTATTTGTATTTATTATTCACATGAGAATTGGGAAGAAAAAAAAAAAAAAAAACCTACTTGATGAATTGGGGGACACATTATGTTGAGGCATACAGGGCACTCGAGTAGATCATGAACAGCACTGTTTGATGCCATTCCAGGCCTTCCACCAATAGAATTACATATTCTGAGGCCACCTCTTCCTTCCACATTTGCAGATTTGACACTGTAATCAGCAATAGCAGCACGTGATTCAGTCACATCCTGGTAAACATTACCTCCAGGAGCCATGTTCTTGCTTTCTTGTGGTCTTTGATTTGCTCCTGAAATTTGAAATCAAACCAAAATCATTATGAAAAACCCTAATTTTGAAAGTTTGAATGCAGCTGGGCAGGGATGGAGAGGGGCAAGACATAACATAGACAATAAAGTTGAATTCAATAAAGGTAGATATAAGATATAGGTATGGGATTATATTATTATAGGGAAAACAAGATAACTGTTATACAAAGAAAGAATCCATTCCACAGATGGCGTTGGAAAGAAGATTTCTTTATGAGTGCAAGAAACCTACACCCATGGGTTAACTTTCATATCCAAATGTAGCAGATTTTAACAAACATTCAATCCGAATATCAGAATATGTTTTCTAGCGAACCTCATCCGAGGTTGACTAGACAACTACTACAATTTCAGTATGGGAGACTGGTGTTAACAGATTCAAAGAACTGAGAAATTAAGGTATTTAACCATGGAATTACCTGAATTCCTTTAAAGAAAACTCATACATTCCTCCCTAAATCGTAACATCGTTGTTGAAGTTCAAGAAGAAAACAAGTTGACTTGGCCCATTATTTTTTCAGAGACTTTTTTTCACTTGAATCATCAACAGACGTTAGTTTCAACGAATCAAAACATGCGCAGAAAACAGAATCGTTATAATCAAGAGACTGAGAGAGATAGCTAAAACGTAAGAACTGACCAAGAACTGCAAACCCCAGATGAGAAAGTCAATACCCAGAAGCCAAAACGAAGCAACCCATCAGTACTTGGGGATTTGTTGTGAGTTTGTTGTAATGATACACCAAGATTAGGGTTTAAATAGATAGAGTAGATCGGATGAATTGACTTGAAGTGGTGATAAATTCCGACACTTAAAGATTTGGGCAATCTTGAACTCCCAGGATTCATTCAATTCTGTGAATCTATCTAGGATTGTAGAACGGTTGAGATGGTAATAAATATTGGGATTTTTATGATGTGTGTGTTTAACAGCTAATAAGGGGATTTGAGCAATGGTTTTGAAATGCAAATTTATGGTTTTTCCTGTTGTCTTGTTTTGAAATTAGTTTTGGCTTTTACGAGACATTTGCGCACGCGTTGCTCTGTTATCATCAACTTTAACTCTATTTATGATTTCGTTATCACCCATTAATCTCAAATAAGAAATAATAGAGTAAACCACTATTTATGATTTCGTTATCACCCATTAATCTCAAATAAGAAATAATAGAGTAAACCACAAATTTCCTTCTGTGTATATGTTTTTTTTTTTTTTTTTAAAGGCAAATAGATTAATCATTAGGGTAAATTACACGGATGGTCCTTGTGGTTTAGGGTAATCTGCATATTTGGTCCCTACCAACTTTTTTTAACTTGGAACGTCCTTAATTTATATTTTTGTTGCACGCTTGGTCTCCATCCGCTCTAAAAATACTATTTTACCCTTACTGATTTCTTTTACCTATTTTAAATTGTCATTTAATTAAAAAATATTAATTAAATATGAAAAAGTATTAATTAAATGTATATTGTTATGATTAAAGAACTGCACCACCGAACCCTCATCCCCTCCTTTGTTCAGTCGCCAGAAATACTAACTCCTCTCGCCGGGAAATCTCACATATTGATGGCGTCTTCACTGGCTCTACCTCCACCTCCCCCCACGACTCTCTTCTCCGGCTAAAATGAAGCGTGTTGTGGTAATCACCAAAATCAATGGAACTTGAACCTTAAATTGATCCATGATGCAAACCTAAAATTGAAACTAAAGTCGAAACTGAAACTAAAATCAAACCCAAAACTCAAAATCAAATCTGAATTCAAAGCTGAAACTGAAATCAAACTGAAAACTTAAGTTGAAACTTAATTCAAACCTAGAACTCAATCAAACCTTAAACTAAAAATTGAACCTGAAATCAAACCTAACCAATGTTGTAGGGTCGGTTTGGGCACCGAAACTGAAATCAAACATGAAATCTATTGGATTTGTGGCTTCTGGATCGATAACATGTTTCTCATCCCGAGACAGAGAAAGAGGCCAATGCTCAAGTTTGTATTGTCTCATCAGATTCGAGTGCCTGCTTCACCTCCGCCTTCTCTGGTGGCACCGGTAATAGATGTTGGTGGCGAAAACATAAGCGAGGCAATTAGACTTTCAGGCTTCGTCTTCTTTCAAGTGAAATAAAGAGATACAAAGTAGAGAGACAGGTTAGTCCCACGAGTGAAGAGGAGAAGGATATGAAGGGTTTTCTCGCCAGCCAAGAACACGACAGGTGAAGAAGGAGCCAAGAAGGTGAAGAAGACGACGTTGTTAGAGTGGTAGGAGATGCAGCTGACCGATGATGCAGCCGGTGAATGGTGATGATGGAAGACGACAGGTGAAGAAGGAGCCAATAAGGGGTTGGAGGTGTTTCTTAGGGTTTTAAGGATTCTTTTATTTTTTTTCATTTTTTAATATAAAAAGTAAAAGAATAGATAAATGAAAAAATGAATAACATATTAAGGGTAAAATAGTATTTTTATAGCGCACAAGGACCAAGCGTGCAACAAAAATATAAATTAGGGACGGTCCGAGTTAAAAAAAATTGTTAGGACCCAAACACGCAAATTGCCCTAAACCATAGGGACCATCCATGTAATTTATCTTAATCATTATTAATCTTTTGATCTTGGTTAAATATGTGCAAACTCATATGCAATTTTAAAGCATTTTTTTGTTACTTTGTTAAATTCTAATCTTTTTCTATAAGCTAATATTTTTGAGCATTTTATATGGTGGAATTAGACAAGATCGGAAAAAAAATCGTAATGGGAACCGGAGCCTGGGTATTTGGTCAGGTTTTCGATTCTCTATTTCCTACTAAATTTGCTATATGTACATGAAAATATTCTCCTGTTTATTTGTGTTGTTAGATTTTCTCTTAAGAAGATTAATATGTGTATGTTGCATGTTGTTGGAGATGTAAATGAATCGAACGAACACGAATAAAGACTTTTTTTGTTCGTTCATTTAAGTTAGCCGAACAAACGAACGCATACAAACGGATAAATGAATGAGTTTTCTTGTTAATGTTCGTTCGTTTAACAAATTACATTGCTCATGTTCGTTTGTTTATGTTCGTGAAATGATAAACGGCCGAACACAAATGAACATAGATAAACAAACACAACTAAACATATATAAACATAAACGAACAAATAATATAATATTGTAATAAGAAACAACAGAATATATATGAGGATAAATAAACTTCAATGAACAATATAAATAACGTTCACGAACATAAATAAACGAATGAGACTCTTGTTCATGTAGAGAACTTGTGTTCATATTCGTTTATTTATTAAATAAACGAACATAATCGAACTTCTCGTTGAACGTTCGTTTCATTTACAACCTACATATTGTTTTTTTATTTGGGTTGCTTTTACTAATTATTATACGAACATCTAGCTTTGTCTAACAAATCCACCATGCAACTATCAAGTAAGTATGAAGCAAAACAAAAAAACATTTTTACTTATTATAAATAGAAATGATCAATAAAAATGGTCATAGTTGCAACATCAATATATCTTCTTTTTTTCATCATAGGAAAGTCGAGAATTTTGTTTTTCTCTTTATCAACATATGCTTTTCACTCCATTTATTTTTTGTATAATTTCTCAAAACTTATACTCTACAATCACAGTATAATGTTGGCTAATGCTCAACAACCTTGATTTTATTTTTGTTGTGTCCAATGTTCATTTTTTTATTCCATAGCTCCAATAATATCCTTTCGTTGTTCTTTGACTCTATTAGATTACTCTTTTGTAACATCCTAAAATTTTCAGATAAAAATTTTCATTTCAAACATCCGGTAGTCATGTCAAAACAACCAACAGTGTATCATAATGAAAATAATATCAGAGTACAAATCCCAAATTCATATAATACAGAAAAACAAGGGCGGATGCGGTGCGATCAAGTCGGACCCTTCCCTTTCGAGCTGGAAGTACCTGAAACACAAACTGTGTTGGTAATTTTAATGTCACCATGTCATTTTATGTAATTGGAACCAACATGTGAGCTAAGGGGCTTCATAATTTGTACTCTAATATATGTACGGGTTTTGTGCGGAGTGCACGCATGTATAAGATCGAATTCGAAGCCGGTTCAACGAAAAGTCGGAGGTACGGGGGGCAGCGCCCCTGGGTCCGGGGTTTCCAAAGGGGTAGCGCCCCTAGCTGGGTCCAAGGGGCAGCGAGGTCGAGGGGCAGCGCCCCAAAAGGTCTCCGAATTATACATATGAGAACATAATGGGAAATTCAAATTCTTGAGAGTGATTATGGTAAAACTAATGAAATTCGTTAGTTTTGGAAACCCTAAATCCTCATTAAAAATCCGGATTTCCCTGACTTGCTTCCAAAGCAACCCATGACGGCCAACCCTAAGAGAAACCGTAATCTCGTTTATTGTATAAACGACTCTTCTCTTTGAGAAGAGACACACGAAAATTATTAGCTCTCTTTTTCTTTAAACGAACACAGAATCCTTCTAGCAATTTGGCTTATGTTTTCTGTGCCTAGATTCGTAAGTGTTCTCTTGGATTATCCTAGGCTGAATTTCTTGCAACCCAGGAATAGGGTAGAAATATCAATTCGGAAAGTGTTCACACGATCCAAGGGGTATCCAGATCTCCAACGTAAACCCTATTTCCTCTAACAAACTGATAATTGTAAGCACAAAGCTTAGTGACCCTCCCCCCCCCCCCCAAAAAAAAACCCCATACCATACATACATAACAGTTAAAGCATAATCGAGTCTATTTAAACCCCTTCGGTCTCTTTCAACCCCTTCGGTCTCTTTCAAGCGGTACTAGGTATATTTCAACCCCTCCGGTCTCTTTCAACCGGTACTAGGTATATTTCAACCCCTTCGGTCTCTTTCAATCGGTATCAACTCTATTTCACCCCTACAACTAACACATAATCATAACAGTAAGAGTCATACAGACAACAAACATATACAAGCAATACAGGAAATTGTCACGAAGACAATTATCATCCTACCAACATAGTCTAGTGGGTCGGCATTGGTGCCTTCGACCCACGAGTAAAGTGAAGGAAACTCACCTCATTCTGAAGATATCAAATCACACCCGGGTTGCCGAATCGTGAAGTCCTCTCACTAAATCATAAATAATAGAAACCTAATTAGTAAGTAGGTCATTAACCCTACCTGAGAGTTTAAATCCCAAACCCCGACTTCCAGGGTAAAAGGTTGCTTAACCATTCCCTTATTGGGCCTAACATACCACAACCCAACTCCAATCTAGCCCAAATTCCAAAAGACATTTCATGCCTAGTATGGCCTTAAGTCCAAAAAGGCCCAACACAACAAGGCTTGCGGCCCAACAAGGGATCAAATCCTTAAGCCCAAAAGTGGCCCGAAACTAAAAGCCCAAAAACCTCTCTATTGAGTACGCTAAGTGTACCATCAGTACGCCTGGTGTACTCGAGTGCTTTATGTCACAACTGGCATTTTTGCCAGGAAATTCTGTGATCATGTAAACATTAACTATGATAACCCTTGTAACCCTAACTTGATGATATGCACTATGTTCATTCTATGACAACAAATTTAGTCAATATCCACAATTGTAGTTCAAAACTCTATGCAAAACATTTCGGAAAGTCAATTGGGAGTTGCAAACCCTAAAAATCCCGGTTCAAGTTCTTTATGGACTAGGATTTTCTTAAATGGGCTCTAAATGGACCCAATTCATAAATCTATAACGTTTTGGACCATTTGGGTCTAAAATGATTCATTCTAACCCTAATGGGCCTTATTGGGCCATAAATGAACTAGTTAGCCCTAATAGGCCATAAACCCATTCCCTTATACCATATTGGGCCTTGGGCCGTGAACCATCCTAAGGGCCCAATGGGCCGAAAAATATTATTAGGCTTATGAAATTCGAACTAAGCCTAGAATGGGCCCAAACTATCTCACTCTTATTTCCTTGGCCCAAATCTCGGCCCAATATATATATATATATATATATATATATATATATATATATATATATGTGTGTGTGTGTGTGT